GACTCTCTTGTCTTGTTCTTTCTTAGATTCTTGTTTTTTCCGGAATTAGTAATTCACTGTCTAACGAAATAGGACCGTTGACCATTAAAAGGATGGCTTCAGTTCATAACTAGAGCGTTGGACAATTTTCACACTTTTTGTCTTGACCTCTTAACTATAAAATTTCAAGATATCCTATCGTTCGGAGACCCCAAAAAAAGAAGTTTTCATCAGTCTATACTTTATTTCATGAAAGTGGCTAGCAATGAAAAATCCGCTTTTAAAGCGGAGAACTTTTCTTTGTCTGACACTTTTGGTTCGCCATCACTCAGTTTTTTGGTTAAAATAAGTTAGGAGCCAAAGTCTGAAATAAAATTGCACAACTTACCACAACTAGGAAAAAAGCTGTTCATCTGTATAATGAAACACAATATAAAAGCAAGCACAAGTTTCACGTCAAAAATAAAAAGTAGCAAAAGTTAGAAATATAATCACTTCATTCAGTTGAAGCAAACAATTACAAGGTGAAGTTGCACGTCTTATATAGAAGTCGACGAAACTGTTATGGAGAGAGAGAACAGAAAACTTTAAGATACATGGGAGAAAGAGCGTAACAAAAACAGTTGAGTAGCCACAAAAAAACATACTTTGTTTACATTTCTTGTTTTTTCTATTTCTTTTGTGCACGCAGATTTTTAGTCTAATATCACACAACATTTTTCAAGGGGATACACAAGAAAATACTTTAACATGAAGTATTCAAGAAGAAAAAAGTTTTTTTGAATATACCGAACTGTTTTCTGTGTACATCCCTGAACGTGAGTACGTCCAAATACGTATGATCAACTCTGATTAGAAATACGCTATTTTTTTGAAAGCCCATGCTTTTGTAATAAGTTTTAGAAGGTGATGTAGCGATGAGGAATGTTGTCCAAGTTTGCTGGTAAGAAACTGCCTCAGCAGACTCTTCTAAGTATTTTGAAACTTTTGTCCAATAACTGTAGAGATAATCTCGTAGAGAGAATTCTCTACTCAAAGCTAAAGTTGAAAGGTCATCATAACCCCATAAAGCGTACACCAACCTTAGATCTGCCCCATAAACATGTTCGATTTTTGTGCGCTGTTTTCAAGTGTAGTAAAACCAAGTAAAGAAAAGCCAGATGGGATGAGACAGTGAAAATGCGCAAAATAATTTCTAATTTTTACTTCACTTTTTTGGTACTATATAAAAAATTTTCCGTAAAGCACAGTAGGAGTTTCTAACCATTTTCAGACGGTAGTCAATATGTCTATCCCATCCAAGTTTAGTACCTACCTCGACTTCTAACAAGTTGATGTATACTGTTATTGTCCAAGCTTTGGGATATAGAATCACCTAGAGAAAATTGTTCAATTTCTTAACTGGAAAACCAAGATAGGTTTGCAAAATGCTCGATCGTCTTTTTAAAGAATCTGCTCAAGTCTGCCAAATCAGATGGGCATTTTGATTCAAAGTCGATTAAACATCATTCTTATACTCAGTTTTTTATACGCATCGAAAAAAGAACAGTTTTGAAATTTTCGAAGAACGAGAAAGATGAAAATGTTACTCTTTTTAAAAATTTAGCTTTTTCTAACAAATCGGGTATTTTAGCTTTTTAAATTTTCTCTGATACAAAATTTTTTTAAAATTAAAGTCAGTCTTTTCTTAATCAGCTCGACAAGCTCTATGCAATCATGCATAAATAAGCGGAAAATACTTTTTCTCGAGCTTTGCATTGCACCTTACCCCACTTTGCATTATGGTACGCAGCTACCCAAGCAAAATAGGATCTAGCTTAAGCTAGCTAAAAGGAACATTTAACTAGCTTGAGCTAGCTGATTGTTCCTCTTTAGCTAGCTTAAGCTAGATCCCATTTTGCTTGGGTACTTTAAACTTTTCTGTTATAAGAAAACCTGTTTACGTGACAGTTCTTGTTTTAGATATAAAAGATTAGTTATAAGCATGGGTTCACCACCAACAACAAAGACATATGGTTATATATTTTGTGCATTAGCTATTGGTATTTCAAGTATATTGATTCAAGCTCGACATTCTCCTAGATGGATGAAATATCTTCCACAAAATGTAGCCTCCACAAAATCATACGAGTCATTCGAATCGTTTTATCCACACTACCTGGATGAACACACTCTACATATAACACGGCAATTGCATTATGTAGGCACATCATTATTTCTTATAACGATGGTTATGCAACCAACATTAATTATTCCAGCTGTGGCAGCAGCTATGACTGGATATTCATTAGTACCCTTTCTACGTGGATTTGCAACTGGTATCCCAGAAATGGCTATAATGCTCCTTATTTATATCCTTGGTGGACGTTTATTGGGAAAATCATATGTTGCTATGATGAAACCACTTGTTTTTTCCTACAGTTTTGCATGGATTGGACATTTTTTCTATGAAAAAAATAAACCGGCAACATTTATCTATCCCACCTATAGTTTTATGGGAGATTTTAGATTGGTATTCGATGCCATTAAATCTCAAATATCGTCATGAATCAGCTTTTTTCTGATGAATGTTTCATCTGTGATTTGTCAACCTTTGTTAAATCTGTTTTTATTGATTTATACTTTTCGTACACAAAACTGTAACTTTTCTATTTTTTGATAAAATATTGAACAGAAAAATAACTCATAACGTAAAAATGCTCTACAGAGATGATAAATGTAAACTATACGGGAAAAGACATTGAAGATGAGGCAGGTTTTGGTATGCTGATTCTGATCATTCAGGAAAATGTTGATACTTTACTTATAATCTCTACTTCATGTACAACAGATCACTCAACTTTTTCCCAACATGATGTACTCAAGGAGAAGAGAAGACGTTAACATTGTTGGATAACTGACGTACAATAGAAGGTGGGTTAAAGGTTAAGCACTATATCAATGACATCAGACAAAAGAACAATTGAATCACAGACCATGAATTTTGACGAAAAAGTAGAAAGTAGCAGCCCTGTGCTCTTGCGAATGAGTCTGTTTTCAGAAGTGTTGTTATTTTATGGTAGTTATTTATTTCAGATATGGACAATACTGCCGACTCTTCTCAGATTTTGCTCGATAGGTGAGTACTCGAGTGATTGTGTGCCTCGTTTTAAATGCTTTATCTCATATTCTTCTTAGATCTCGACATCGACCAATGGTTGCTGGTTTTCAACTTTCATCATCGATCAATTCTCCATTTGAACAATATTCTTCAAAGTTACCAGCAGCTGTTCGTGGGCTATTAAATCATACACAAGGTATGTTTAGGAAAAACGTTTTCAAGAATACTTTCCTATTATATTGAACACAAATTATTCTTCATTTTAGATATTCTCTCACTGACTGCACGATTTTCACGCACAGGTTATTGTTGGCTAGTTTCTAATCAAACGGCATACGTGTGGCTAGCATCATCCACTCGTGTTACGGTAAATAGCGTTGTTATTTATTACCAGTTTATATTTTTTAATCTTCATTCTTGTCTAGGAAGCAACAGTTCATCAAGAGTTAAAACTACCAGAATGTGCACTTGGTAATAATGCAAATTTAATTGAAATATTTACGATTAGCACAACAACTGATGATGAAACGTCATCCTCGGCTTGTTGTCTTGTCATTACGGGTGATGGTTATGCGCGATATTGGCGTTCAATTGTCCGACCAACCGAATATTATGACGTTAAATTAGATTTTGATCAAATCGAATTGCTTTGTCATGTTAAAGTATTGGTTTTGTCATAGAAATTCCTACGTCAGAAATGTACAATTGTTTTTTATTTGTTTAGGATGATGTATGCGTTTGTGGATCGTATTCTGGAAGATTGTATACAATTCCGTGTAATGCATTATGCAATAAGGTAACAAAGAACTTTCATGCGTTATAGATAAGACTGTACTTTTTAATTGAAGGCCTATATTGTTCAAAACATACGTTCATCATTATTTTCCACAATTGGTCATGGCTTAAAATCAATGTTATTTGGTACAAGTCGTCATATAAAAGAAAATGAAATGTTGAGATATTTACATCCAGTATTGAACAATGATCGGATTGATTTTCTATCATTAACAGACAAACAATTATATTTTTGGCAACTATCAACTACAGACATACAGGTGATAAATATTATTTTCAATGTTACATTTTCAACTTATTAGTCATATTTTTAGTTGGTACATTCAATTAATTTGCAACAAGTCTTTTTGAATGAAGCACTTAAAGCTCAGGTATTTTAGAAGAAAAATGAATGAATATATGTCGTCTGAGTACGGTTTATCTGATTTAGGGTTCATTGGATCATCAACGAAATGTAGCTTGTTTATCATTAAATATCACACAGTATGTGTAGTTTCTTGTCTATCTCTTGCATTATTAGTTTTTTGTTATTTATAGAGAAACAATTTATGTACTCGCTGTTTTACATAGTACACAAGACTATAAATTAATGTTAGGTACAGTGAACATACGTATTTGTTAGACTATATAAACGTCATATTTCTCTTCGATAAAAGTGGCTTATAAGCTCATCAATTTTAATATCTTTTTAGGCGTTTTTTCATTAAGTTCAAATGAAATCAATTTTGTATCACTAACATTTTTAATCGATCCATTAAATACAAGAGTAAGTTATAAAGCTGACAAGTAATAATTTAGGCATGTTTGTTTTTCTTTTTATTCTAGTTAGATGAACTAATTGTTAAACCTCGTTTAAAAATGTATGGTATACCAAATCAACCAGCTATGATATTACATACCAAAAAAGATGCTTTTATTTATACTGGTAAGATTATTTGTTTTCTTTCGTTGTTATAAATTCGACGATCTTAAAGATAAATACTTACTTACTCGTTATATATAATTTTTGAGAAAACAAGGAGCCATTCAATTAAAAAGCTATAATTTTACTTTTTTGATTTTGATAAACAATCATTGTAAGAAAAAACATATATATCTTGACTAACAATCGAATAATTTGTTTATTTAAAATAATAGTAATTGTAAATTATTTTATTTATAGGTCCAAATTTTTCGACTATACTACGCGGTAATTTTCTTAGTATGAGTGAGACAATAATTGGTAGTGGTTTATGTTGTAATCGTGCGTTATTATTATGTCATGTACAAGGAATTATTATGCCCAAAACACAAGATTTAATGACAACGTACGTTTTTTACTACTCTATTTGTGATCAATTACTAAACACAATACATACTTGTTTCTAGTTTATTGTCAAAAATTCGTACCATTCCATTATCTTTAAACACAAGTGATAATCAAATACAATTGATGATTAATGCGTTTCATGCATTTTTAATTAATAATGATCCTGTACTTAAACATTTTCTTTATTTGTGGATATATATCACGTTTTTTCTTGTTTTATTCTAGGGTGGTTCAGTTGAAATATTCAAACGTTTTATGAAAAATCATACAAATTTATCAATGAATATTGATGATATTATTGTCAAATTTGCATCATTGATACTTGATGATCCATTGTTGCATACACAACAACGAGAGCAACAAGGTAATAAGAATATATTTTTGCTAAATAGACGAATAAACACAAATGTATTGCTTGTTGACTTTAACAATATTTAAACTCGACTTGTTTATATTACGTAAATTTTGTTTTACAACCGCTTTTTTCGAAAATAGTAGTTGTAAAACAAAATACAACAAATCGAGTTTAAATATTATTAAAACCATTTTCTCTCGTTACCGCGCAGTAAACTCGATTCATAGAGAATTTTGACAGTGAGTTTGTCTTTTCTCTACTTATGTTAGAACATTTAATATCGAATTATTTTGGTGATGTCTGACGTATATGTTCTCAAGTGTGGGGAGAGAAAAGTTACAGTCTCGAGGAGTGTGTGCGTAGTAGGGATCAGTTCAACTTTCCAAGGCATGAACTTTTCTATAACGACAAAAGCGGTTGTAAAACAAAATTTATTTGCTTGTTGATATTGCGAGAGAACATGATCGAAATAAAGAGTGTAAACCTTTTTTCCGAACTAAACTTTTAACATTCCAACAAAAAAAAAAAAAAAATTCAGTAAATGAACTAACAGAATACAAAAACATGTTATATATAATTATATGTTTGAATTATACAGAATCGGCCGGTGATGATCATTACTTAATTCGACAATTATCAAAAAAAATTGAAATTTATGATTATTATTTTGCATTTCTAAAATTAATTAGCATATGGAATAAAGTAAAAAAAAAATTAAAAATGTTGTTTAATTCTTTAATTTGTTTTTGTTTTTTTTGTCTAGTTAAATTTGACACATTATAATAATGGAATGTATCCAACCAAACATATTCTACTTCAGTTTGGAGAAAAACTTCATTGTGCCAAAGATTTTACATCCGTTTTTGGGTATGTCAATTAATTGACATTCATTTTTTTATCAAGAAATTTATATTTCATTTATCTTATAGGCAATCATTATATTTACAAGCCGCTTTAAGTGCTGTATCAAAATCAAATGTTGTTCATGGCTCAAATAGTTTAATTTCAAATAATAATTATTTGTGTAATCAAGTGAGTAGAATATAGAACGAAATATAAATCAATGTTTATATCATGTTTAATCATTCTTATTTAGATTTCTCAAATATCAGATGTATTAGCTGCTATTATTGTTGGCGTTCTTGAAGATTCACATACTGTTGAAATTGATTCATATGAAGAGTGTACACGTTTATTGTTAATTGCTTATGATAGTATTAGAAAATATCGACAATCAAAAGTTGATGAATACAAATCATTATTTGAACAATATGAGAGTATGAGTGATGACAGTAATTCGATATGTGAACCGTGGATATTATATGAACAAAATCTTCAAGAATTATTTGTATTACATGTGAGATTTAAAACAAAAAAAATGTGTTATTGATTTTTATATAGATAAAATTAATATTTTTTAGTGTACACAACATTTATTTTTATCATTGGAAAAATGTGAATCGATTGAAACAAAAAATCGTATATTATCAATGGTCTATGAACTTGTTAAACACATATTAGACGAATATCGATCGTATGTGTGTCAATTGTATCAAACAAATAGTGTTACTTTAGATGAAACACAAAAATGGACACATTATAAACAAACACGTTCGACATTAATCAAAACATTCAGTGAGTTTGACTTATATTTGCAAATGAAAAACAAACAAAACAACGAACTTTTTTTCATATTCTTTTTTATTGTATTTTTTAAGTTAAACTTCTTGAATTTAATAAGGCCAAACAACTTGGTGAAGAATTTGAAGATTTTCATTCATTAATTGAAGTATGTGATGAATTAAAAGACGGTGATCAATTAAAAAAGTATATTCGAATGTATAATGAAAAGGTAAAAGACTCTTCTTGCTTACATTACTGTTCTTTTATGAGTCGAAATTTTTTTATTTAGCAATTTACGAGTGTATTTCATGATTATTTACAATCAAAATCAGCCGTTTCTGTATTATTTCAACCCGATTATTTTCATATGACTGAAATTCAACAATATTTACAAAGTTTACAAAAATTCGCGTGGATGGCTGATATTAAAAATAATGATTTTGAAAGTGTGAGTTTAAATTCTTTTTTATATGTTAACCTTGATACATGCGATCTTTTTTCCTTTTCAGGCTTCAATTCATTCATTAAACGAGCATGCCGATACTATTGGAAAACGTCAAGTAAATACCGTACCATACATAAAACCACCTATTTCAAACATTATGTATTATTAAATCTTTTTTTTTTCCCTAGGTCTTGTTGGCGATAAGTAAATTTTCCTTATTAGCTAGTGATGATGGTAAAAAAAATAAAAATGTATTCGATATGCGTTTACAATATATCGAAAATGAAGAAAATCTATGTCAATATCGAAAAGATCTTCTTCCCAATGTAAGCAGTGTGTCACATTTATTAATCATATTAAAAAGAAAATGTTTACTTTTATTCTCTGTTTAAAGATTGATGAAATTGATCGATTACGTCAACCTCTAACAAGTGCAAAAGATATGATTAAAGTATGTTTAATCACTTTTTTATGGTAAAATAATAAACGTTATATTGTGCTTTCAGAATCTCATTTATAAGAAAAATTCTACGAAACCATTATTAGAAAGATATTGTTTGGCCATTAAAATTCTCTCACAAATGGAGGTAGAGACGTGTGTTAATAACTAACTGTAAGAATAATTATATAATAAAACTTTCTTTTAGAATAATCCTGATTTTGATCAAATACGCTCATCATTATTTGCTCAAGCCATTCTCAATGATCCGTATGTAATTTTTTTAATCTTTTCAAGATTATCTATTAATCTAGATAATTTTTCATATACTATTTTTTAAGTTTACAATCCATTTCATCATCTGTTGATCCATTATCATGCAATTCAACTAAATTGATCAATCAACTCTTCGATTACATTAAAAGTAAATTAAAATGATCAATTATATAGTCTAAAAATGAAGTCTATTTGTCTATTATTTTTAGAGGAAAATCTTGATAATTTAATTCCATCAATGGATAAATTACTCTCTTCACCAGATTTATCTTCGATGCAAAATGATCAAGACTTTCATCAAGCACTATGTTCAGTTTATGCACCATTATTAGCAAGATAGATCAACATCGTTCTTTTCTGTATTTGTAGGCAATTTTTTTTCTTTGTATTATAAAGATAATGATTAAAAATACTCAAATTTTGTTTTCAAAATTCAAGTAAAACACAATATCAAATTGTACACTTAATTCATTTATATTAAGTAGAAATTTGTTGTCCATCATATTTAACAAAATTAAAATTTGTAATATATGCTGCAATAATGTCACAAATAATTGCACCCATGCCAAAAATACCGAGAAATGAGCCAACACTTGTCGTTGTTTGAAATAGATCAAATCGGCCCACTTCACCCGTAACAGTAATAAAAAATCTTAAACTATAGATTTTTGTTGTAATTCTATGTAATTCATGTTCGTCTGTATAATAATGTCTTGATGTTTCAAAATTATAACCGGGAATGAAAATATTATCTGAATAGGGCATATCTAATCGAGAAAATACATAATTTGGTATACACTTTTTTACTGAAAAATCTAAATTACATTTCCATATAATTTTGATTTCAATTAATGATCCATAATGAAATATTTGTTTGTATTCATCATGTTTTATTTGAACTAGTTGTAGAATTTTACTAATATGAAAATTTGGGCATAATTTATGATATGTTTCATCATATTTACATGAAATAAAATACGATGGTTTTACTGAATCGGTGACAAGGTTTTGTCGAACAAGGTTTAATTGTGGAAATTCGACATAATTTTTAATAAATAGAACATAACTGAGTGCGTCATAATTATTTTTTGTACGCGATGGGAATTTATGCCAACAAAGAGGAGGTAATGTCTGATTTGTTTTTTCTAATAATTGTCGATAATAGGGTGGTATTACACACTGTTGTTTTACACTACAATTATGTTCATTAATTCGATCAATTTTGTTACATGTACGTAATACATATTCAGTTTCAATGACACGCGTTACTATGGATATTGCACTGTTCTCTTGCGGTGGTACAATAAAATCGACAGCATCATCTTTTGGATCTGTACAACTGTAATTTAAATGATTTGAACAATTAGGAGATACTTTTATTCTGATCGTGACAGCCGATATTGGACTACGATCAAATATTTGATACGAATTTTGTTGAAACATCAATAGTATACAATAGACAGCTAATAATAATTTGATTATATGAGATAAAAAAGCGACTGATGTCGATTTAAATCGAACTACTTTTGGTGTTTCATAACGTGTACAAAATTCTAAGATTAATTTTGGTGCATTACAAAAAGAAAATGATGTCATTGCTCAAGGAATAAATAGTTAATATTGTCTGAAATACATTGGATCCTTTCTATATGACTAGCTAAAATAAAAAGAGATAATTTCGAATAATATCGATCAATTTTTCCGCACGTATGCACAACGGTATAGCTCTGAATCAAGAGATGAAAACTGAATTTATCGAACTAAAATCATTTGCCTTTTTCTATTAATTTATTAATAACCATTGCTTAGCAAACTTTTTTTATGAATGAAATAACGTGTAAAAAAACATTAGCTTTAGTACAGTAATGCTAGAGAACTAACAGAGATAGTGTTTTTGACATTTGTCTTCCTTATACACCGTTTAGAGAAAAAAGCTCTATGTATAATTTTGTTCCATTTCTAAGTAGATTTAATGATGACTCATTTGTTCTTTATATTCGGTTTGGCAGTTCTTTCATAGATATGATGAGAAATGAAACATCACGATTGACGAAAAGAGAAAAATAAATATGAGAATAACAATTAATATTTTTTCTCACTGATCTATTCCAGGTTCTCCAACTTCCGTGTGTTGTATTATGTTGTGTTTTCATTTATTTTGATACATATAAAGCTTATTTGTATCGATTTATTCTGTTTTGCACCGTAAATTTAGCGTAATGATGCTTAAATTTAAACAAATAATTTATGACTCTTATTTATGAGATATGTAAACGAATCCAAGTTTATCTGTGTTTGTCTGTCATTCAAACTTCACATTCTTTTTATCTATGATATGTTCAGCATTGACGCGAGTCGTTTTTCATAACTTTTTACACTGTAAAAAATAAAGTGTGCTCAAAATACGCCAAACTTGCACATCACTTTGATTCGCATTTACATATCTAGAAATACACGATGTGATGTGCCAGAAACACACTGGTTCAAATTTTACACACCTGCGATTATAAACAGACTTTTACACATTTAGAAAAAAACATCTCAGTTTGATTCGTATTTGCGCACTTAGAACTTTTACACATCTACGAGCACACTTTACTTTTTACGGTGTGGAGAAAAGAGCTAGAGAGAAATGGTTTGAGTATAGCTCATCTTTTTTTGAAAAAATCAGCTTCGAAATTTTTTCTCGAAATGATTTATTAAAACGATTTCTCAACAATCAAGTTCCTATTCCATGTAATTACATACATTTTCGAATGCCATTCGTACACAGAAGATTGCGCACGGTGTCTTCTGTTCTACAGTCGAAAAAGAACTTTTTTTTTATAGTTTTTTCAATTTTACATTTCTTAAACGAGACTCTCGTTAGTTGAATGGTAAAAATGTTTGAATTTTTGAATAAAACTCAAGTCACTACAGTATGTGTACGTCTATAAACCAGAGACTTCAACGCTTCCACGCTTTCTTAGAGTTTCCTATTGCGAATTAGCGATAGAGCTTTATACAGGATATACACGTTGTGGACGTAGAAATCGTCACAACACGCCTTAAACGCTCACATATTTTAGCAGTACACTAGTGATCTGGATATATTAATTTTGTTGAAGTGGAAAGAGTTAGTTATCAATCACCGAATAGTACCATCCAAGTCAACATTCTCATCAGGAAGATTGAAGATTCTGAGTAATTTGATGATAATGACTTTTCGGCGTACATAACTTAAAACCGTTTAAAAAGTGACAAATCTAACTTTCAGAGAAATCTGAAAGTTAGATTTTTCACTTTTTTTTAAATGAAAAAGAAAAACAAACATTGCCAGATAAAACGCAGGTCGACTGATATCATCTGCAGATTTTTCGACATTGAGATCGATACATAAAAACTGATATTATGCACAGAACATGATAGATGGAAAGTCGGCTATAGTACAGAAGACACAATGCGCAATCTTCTGTGTACGAGTAGCATTCAAAAATGTATGTGAGTATATGGAATAGCAACTTGATTGTTGAGAAATCGTTTTAATAAATTATTTGAAGAAAAGATTTCGAAGCTGATTTTTTCAAAAAGATGAGCTATACGCTTAGCTTCCTGAAAATCATTTGTCTCTAGCTTTTTTCACTAGAAAGTTATGAAAAACTACTCGTGTCTATTCTCCTTCTGGACATATCATAGATAAAATGAATAACAAAGTTCTATTCTCAATTAAAAGATGTGAGTTCCACAACATTTATTCAAGATTAAATTTGGAAAAAGTAATCATTTTCACTATTTTAAACATTGTGTATATCTTACTCGATCTTTAGAAGCAATATAACTTGATAATAGTAGAAAGACTACGCTACGAGCACAATCATCTAACAAATGGCTATAAATCATTCTTTTATTCAAACAATCTTCGACGTGAAACTTCATTGCTTATAATTTATGGAGAAATATCGTTATTTGCTGTTTCTTTTTTTCAATCAAAAATTACGACGAAATCATAAGAAGACGTCTGTGTATGTGATAAATATCGTGCTTCGTGAAAAACAATTAAATATTTATCCCAAAAGCAATTATTATAGTAAATCTTACATGCTAATTTCTTACTCTATTCCATCCACTCATATGCATTGAATAGTGAGCATTGTTATAAATAACGACGTTTCTCATCGAAGAACAATACTAGGAGACATTAAATTCTGTTCTGCCATTTACAGCTATTATTAACAAAACGGAACATCACTATTTACGTGAAATAGACTTGTAAATGAACAAAAAAAAAAAATTCTGGTCGATCTATGAGAAAACAAAAGTTAAGTAGATATAGTAGACTATGCTTGGCAAACAACAGAACTGATTGTTAAGTAGGTAGAATGGCTCGTAAAAGAGCTGAAATAGAAGAAAATAAAGATTATTACAAATAGATGTAGAGAAGCTAGACTTAATTATATCAACTCCCAACATTTTTTGCAGTATGTCTAGTATATTCAAGTCATTTTTGAGCGAAAAACATCGATATTGAATAGGTAAATAGATCTGACTCTCAGCCATCAGTTGATGTGAAAAACTTTCTTGAAATTATTAACGTTGATTAGTTCTAATGAATATTTGATGTATCCATCTTGATTGAGTATAATTCGTCCCTTTGTGAGCAATTGTTGTCAGCCAACAGTTGGAATCTCTTCCATTTTTTATGGAGTAATTATACTCGGCTTACAATATTAGTACAGATAAGACACAAAACAACCTCCTCAAATGAATGGATTTTGCTAAATATTTGAAATAAAACAAAGAAAACGGACTTTCTCGTGTTTATAGTAAAATAGATGATGTTAAAGAGGTATCTTCTCGATTCCTCGACAGCTAATAATTGTCCTTACTTGTTGACACATTCAAATATATAGAATAAAACATCAATTCCTAATTGTCGATGTAACTATGATACTGGATGATTAATAAGTATATCTATTTTTAATTAGAAAACGAAGTCTCGGAAAAAATAATTGAAAAGATTAATATTTATATATTTAATTAAAGAAAAGAAAGACATTAAAAAAGAAAAACGTACAGAAAAATACGCGAAAGAAACCTAGATAAACAGACATTTACAAGAAATCTTCCCAACGTCGATGTTTTTCTTGTTTTCCTACCCAATTATCCTACTAATTTTAATTACAGAATCATCCAAGGATAATGCACCAATAACGTTAAACTGAGTCATTAAATCAAGGATACACGCATTTCTGTTTAGATATAAATTTTTTCATGATGCTATTGTTTATTGTTGTTAGATTTGTTTAACGTTAATATTTTCAATAAGCATTAATTAAAATCTATTTTGTACAAAATTCTTCATATTTACAATGCTCTTCGTTTGGTTGATGATTATGCGACGTTGAAACAATTGGAACCTTTTTGTACTCTCTAAAAAAAATAGTTTTAGTACAAAACCTAAAAGGGTATAGAGAAGTGCAACCATTTTGAAACCGTTTTAGGTTTCGTATGAATCCCTTTTGAATTTTGTACTTCGACTACGAAACCTTTTATAGTTTTGGGTGAACATAAAGGTTTTGTAACCGAGGTACGAAACTTAAAAGGGATTCATATGAAATCTAAAACGGTTTCAAAATGGTTGCACTTCTCTATATCCTTTTAGGTTTCGTAATAAACCTATTTTTTTAGAGAGTACAGCACAATCATCGCAAGCTATACGATTTTCACAGGATTTACTCTCGTTTTGCCCCTTATATTTTTCTATTATTTTATTTATTTTATAATTCTCCATTTCTTTCAATCAACTGTCTGTATACTGATGAATGTTAATATAGTTAATTAAAATAGTATATTTTATTGACAAGTTACATGAAAGAGGTATTTTTACAGTATTAAATACATTTGTCATATTTAACTGTAAGTTCAATTTCAGACAAGGCACCATTCTCATATCTTTTGATTAATAGTCGTTAAAATTAAGAATTTGCCCACTACCTTTTGTTTCTGTATAAAACATTATTATTATTACCATAGAAAAGCATGTTGAATAAGTGCATAAGGTAATATTCAATGGTGCCATAAGACCATATGACAGTCCCATTTATAACCTAAAAAACAATTTAATGGTCAGACGGTCGTAAGTTGTAACTGATGCAGGTTTAGAAAAGGAACTCGTTAGTACCCGCTTTGGTCATACATATAATACAAAAGAACTGATTAATCAATTATATTAATATTGATTAGTATACAACTAATGGAAAGAAATAGAGAGTTAAAAATAAATAGAATAATAGAAAATATTAGGGACGAAATGAGTGGATACCGTATTATCGTTACGAACTCTCTTTCTTTTAAATATCGATATCCTAAAAATAACAAACATGCCTTACATTTCTCTGTTTTGACTATTGAATATATTTTTATAACGAGTAATAATATAGAATGTTGACTCATTGTTTTTAATGTAACTAGATTTGAAAAAAACATAAGTATTTTATACATCTCAACCTGTTTTAAAAAATACATATTAATTTTTATTCCTAAATCGTTAAGAATATTTTGAAACGCTGTTTTTCATCATCTATTTAATCAGGATATAATGTAAAGAAAATGTCGTCTACTTTTCCACTAAGCACTGAATACAAAATGAATAGTATCTTTTTTTAAGCATTAAAAAATTAAACTAATTAAGATAGACTCTTAATTAAAGAGTACGAACAAGTTTGAGTTTTCATATGTATTAGACAATTCTGTCATTCCTCTATATTATACTTAATCAACTAATTATAGATAAATTTGAATAAATGGAAGTTCATACGGAACATAAAGCACTATTTAAGTAGTTTGTTTAAAACTTGTCGTTGAAACTAAGTTGTCATTTCAAGGTCATTCCAACTATTCTTGCTAAGCTAACTAAAATTACTCGAAAGGACTAATTATGCTCAATCAAGGTGGATACGTTGAATATTCATTAAAACTAATTAATATACATGATTTTCAAGACAGGTTTTGATTAATATCTAACCTATGATGCAAAACTAATTGAATAAATGTCGAGCATTATTTCTATATGTCCCGATGTGTTAGATAGTTAATTAATTTTTTGTTGAAAAAAGTAAAGTCTGAACTTGAAAAAATATAGAAAAGAAAATTTTTTGTAGTAGAATTTAAGTGAGAAAAACTTTGAATACCAAACGTCAGCAAAAAAACTCTTGTACATATTTTTTTTCTTTAGTTTTTTATTATAGTTTAGAGAAAAAAATGTTCTATAAAAGCCAGATACATGAAAATGTACTTTATTTGAAAAAGCGATAAACACATTTCCGTTTTCTTATAATTACACAATTTGAAACATTCTGTTATAGAGAAAAAAAATACGTTTGATGAACAAGATACGTTTGTAGCGCGTATAGAAGTTATAAGAGCTTTTTGAGTGACATTTGGGAATATAAAGTCGTTGACTTTAATCGACAGACTGCAAACAACGTTGGGAGCTAGTCATATTCATCCCATATGATTCTCTATAGTGCATGTATGTTGACGAGAAAAAATTGGACGATTATCACATTGAACTTATAGCTAGAATTGAATCATTATCGTCAGATACTTTGTGTCATGCTACTGTTGATACAACAAGGTGAAAATTGTGTTACGACAATGCAAACTTAAAATCGATTTCTACCTGTTGAATAAACTCAGGTGAAACTTTTTCAACGGAGCGATCTCTACCGATATCTATAATCTTTACCAATATATTTATCTTTTAAAAAATTTCTTTTTGCTTTTTCTACCTTATTTCGATCAAAAAAAACTGCAAAATTAGGTTTTCTTGTAAAAATATAAAATAATTAAATTGATAAAATATAGTGGATATATCGAATCTCTACTTTCTTGAAAAAAGTACAGTCATTTTTTGCTACTTTTTATCCATTCTACTTCCTAAGTCTCACTTCTACGAAAGACTGAATCTACGAATGAATGGTTGGCCCCGTTCACTCTATTTGGTTGTTGTTGTTTTTTTTTTTGTCCCTTCTGAACATGATTAATCAAATATCACCGTCGTTTTATTTTTATTCTGCTTACAAATATAGATCTTTATTTGAGCTGTAAAGAGCAAATAACAAATACTTCAACAAATAAAATAAGACGAGATCGAAATAATTTAATATGAATAATTTTCTATGATGATTGAATAGGCATAATTCCCTCAGTGGTTAATCGTGATTCATCTTTTCGATAATTGGGTTGTATCGATTTCAAAGTACTTGTAACAGGCACGATGTTTTTCGCAACAGGATTTTGAGATGATGAGACCTAGTACATAACGAATAAAAGAAAAAATAGACATGAAAAGAAGAAGAAAAAAAATAATGTAATCATCTTACTTTGAATGGATCAGTATAATAATTTACTTCATCTGTTTCGGCTGCACAATATGTATTACAAAATGTTGGTAAAAATAATGACACGGTAAATAGGAAACCTCCAGCAACAAATATAAAAATTCCAAAAAGTCGACAATACTCAAGATTTTGATTAAAATTCATTGCATTTCGATCAACGGTTATTGATGATGCATCTGATGATATTTCAATATTTTTACGTGGCAATAATAAACCAACTAATAAAATGGTGAAACCAAGAAAGACGAGAGTTGTTCCCAAATACAAGGTCGCTTTCCACCAATTACTGGAGAATTTTTTTTGTCTCGAACGTGTCAAATATCTAAAGAAGAAAAGAAAATATATATAAAAATTCTTTAAAATGCTAAGTGACACTACTTACTTAAATTGCGAACCATCCGGTTCAGAAGAATGTGCTGTTCTATCATAAAAATTGTTTAAATACGATTTAATACCAAAATATTTCATGCATCCTGTGTCATTTGTTGAATAGCGTGATGATGTATCATCGTCAACTTCATCAACACGTTCTAATAATGGTCGTTGTGAGACTATGTTTGTACTACGCCAATTTGTTATTTGAGACATTTGTTTAATGAGCTTGATAGAACATGACCAACTATAATTATTAGATATGTCAAAAGATTAAAACATATATCTTTCTATCACATTTATTCATGAGAAAACTTTATTTTTATTTAAAATAATGTATACTGAAGTAAAAAAATAGAGCCAAATCTACTAGTTTACTTTATGCATTACAACTGTTATTAAACTGTCTGATTTAGAATTAAATACAGATAAATATGCAATTTAACTAATGGTTGCTTAAGAGCGTAAATTTCATTATTTTTTAAAATAATTTATACTATAATCTATTTATTCCTGAAAATTTAAATTTTTAATCATTATTAATTGATCTCCATATGGCGTATTTCCTTCTTTCCTTTTATATGTTCTTCACTATCTTTTTACATTTTTAGACTTTCTACTGATTTAATCATACTAGGTAGCTGAAAGTTATATTACTATCTAAAAGTACTTACTCTTTTCAAATGAATGTTAGAATTTGTAAAAGAGACTAATGAGAAGGAGATATCCAGTTAACTCCAGTTAATATTTAGTTCTTTTAAACATATATTACCCTAACAATGTAAAATATAGACTTGATTTTTTTAGGAATATACCAGACGTTCAAACACATTATAATATCTCAATTTTAAAAAGTGTCTCTAGAGATTTTAATCTTCAAAAACAACATATCGACACAGGACCATCTATAGATAAACGGATGTTCAATGACTACTTATATTTTTATCCAAATTATTTTTATACCTACATATTTATATTTATATTTTTATACAACAACAAGAAACTGTGGCGTGTGTAGAACTACGCTCCTCTCAAAAATGGTTAGGAGCGTGCGTAATTATTATAAACACTAACAAAGAAGAGAGTTTTCCATTTCACTATATTGTTGCTTTTTTTACGCGGGCAGGAAAAGAAGGAAAAAAAAAGTTTATTTTTTTCTCATTGAGTTGCGCTCTGATTAGTCTCTTAAAAATTGAGAACAGTAAGTGAGTATCAAGAACGTCACATCTATATGCACATATTTCTGTAGTAGGAGAATTAACTTCTCACACCGAAAACTTTTTTTCTTCTTCTTTTCCAATTCTAGTTGAACATCGCACTTGGTCGACAGAAAAGAAAAAAAAAAACATATTTTCAAATAAATGCGAAGGACGTTTTTTATCTTAAAGAAAGAATTTATATCGCCCACACGCAAAAAACAGAAAAAATAAACTAAATCATGATGTAGTTGATTTTATAATTAAAGAAAGACTATCGTGTTATTAATGTCAAACAATTAAAGAAGAAGATTTCTAGAGTCCTCTATACAAACTTTTTTCCTACAATTACAAATGACCTTTCAAGCTGAACGATTCTGACATATATACAGGGTTTAAATAATTTATCGAAAATCAGGTCGATTTTAAGTATTCTAGAGAATCCTCCTGCTTCTTCAAGATTCTTGGGAAATATTCATAGAAAACCCAGGTCGATTTTCAATATTCTAAATCCTCCTTCCTCCTTCCTTTTCAAGATTAATATTAGTTGAAGCTTAAGTATTAAAGTTAATTCATGCGGTTACGAGACAAGTTTTCTTTCTTTGCTCTTCTTGCAATATTTGACTTAGGCGCTTCGATGCAATGCTTCAACAGATTGCTGTCCTGGATACGAATATGTCATTATTAGGAAATATTTAATCACTCTTTTTCTCGCTTGTTTAGAACTTGATCTTATTTCTATCCGTCACGGATGCCATCGTCGGCCCTGCCAGTGCTTCGTGTACGCTTAATCCCAGTACTGCTGTCACCATAAGCGGTACAGACGCCCTCATCGGTCACGCCAGTGCTCCGTACGCCATGCTATGGTCTATCACGGTGGTTTCACACCCTTATTATTGACAAACAGTACGGTTTTGTCTTTAGTCTTTGTATTTTTGGCATTGAATGCCCGTCACGCCAATAAACGTGAAACAAAGGTTCCCTCTTTTCTCAGGTTAAAGACGAGTAGACGTAACTGTTTGAATTGGGAGTTACTTACAGAAAATGCAGGTCGATTTTCAATATTTAGAAAATCCTCTTGTTAATATTACAGAAAGTCCAAGTCCATTCGCAAGATTCTAGAAAATCCTCCTTGGTTTTCAACATTCTTGGGAATTATTTATAGAAAAGTCCCAACTTTTGAGTAACCCTGTTTAGATCATATACCTGAGAAAACTAAAAAGGGTAACGCAAAAACAACCTCGGATGTGTCGTATTCAGTGTGAGTTTTATATTCTCTTTTTCGTCCCAATTTTCTGTGACTTGAAATTACTGAGCTCGACGGGCAGAAAAACGCGCTCGAGGTGTAGAGAAAGCAGAACATGCGGACTCTGGAGAAAAGCGGCTTAACATCGGCTTAACAATAAACAGTCATATAGTAGTCGATTAAGGTGAGGCAGACGACATTATTAATTTTGAGTGATCCGACCAACTGACAAAAGAATATATATACTGTTATTAGGGGTGTTAGTTTAGCGTTATTGTTCATTTATTTGTTCATTTTAATAATGGATAAATAAAAAAAAATGAAAAAAAAATTGTGTTAATAACGAATAAGTAAATGATTTACTTTTAAAAGACTAGTCATGGCGAGCGAAAGGAACGTTTCAGACTAGTCCCGATGGGATATACGGACATTTCGGACTAGTCATGACGGCCGTCTTCTGGAAGTATAGTGAATTTCGAATACGAAGGATATTGTTCTCGTCAAAAAAGTATCAAGCCTTGTGGGAAAAATATGAAGTTTTTTGGGAAAGACATGAGGTTCTGGTCAAAATATACGAAATTTCAAATAAGTTCTCTTCGAATACATCAAGTTTTGCGGGGAAAACATGCAGTTCTGTTCATAATATGCTAAATTTCGCGGATGGAAGATAAAGTTCTGCTCAAAATATATCAGGTTTTGAGGAAACAAGATGGGCTTCTTGTGAAAATGTACCAAATTTTGCAGAACAACGATGGCGTTCTCGTTTAAATATATCGAGATTTGACGGAAAAGCATGGAGTTCTGGTGAAAATACGCTAAATATCGAGGAAGAAAGATGGTGTTCTCGTCGAAATATATCAAGTTTTGTAGGGAGACCATGGAGTTCTGGTCCAAACATACTAAATTTCGCGGAAGAAAGACGCAGATGTGCTCAAACTATATCATGCTGTTAGATCATCAATGCTCCAATGATACTGAATTGAATCGTTTTCTTGTCAATTTTTATTGGGAAAACCTAAGATTGTACAAACGTGTGACTACAACAAAATGAAATCGATCTAACTACTGTTGAACTGAAAATAAGTGTTTATAGTTGAGTATGAGTGAGAAAAAATTTGAATCTCAAGTTTCGCCAAAAAAACTCTTGTGACGTCTACAGTCTCCTGACTATCTCTCTCATCAAATGTATTTTCTTCCAATAACTGAATACATTTATTACTGAACACATTTAAATATATGGGATTGTAGAGCAATCGGAGGTCTAAAAAATGAGACATAGTACGACACTAGCAAAGATTCCATTCAATTCCGTTCAATTATTAATATATTCCGTTTATTATTACAAGTTGATAGTCTTTATTCACTATTATAAGTACGTATACATAAAACATGTATTGCAAGTTTTATTATTTTTTCGCAGTTACTTATTTTATAAAAAAACTTCCAATAATAGGAAACAAAATCTCTATCAAACAAAGAAACAACCTTGAAGTTTTATTAAGAAATGGCGAAGAATATTCATGTTTTATTTCTCTGCAGTCTTTCGGAACACCCTGCAGATTATGATAAAAATATCAACCTGAAATATTGTAGGAAGAATTGTAGATGCAATAGAGAGTACAATATGCTTTTAGCAGGTATATACTCGTCTCAGTTTCTGATGACATAATTGCATTCCAGCCTCTTTACGTACCTTTCCAATCAGTTTCAGCGTTGGATATAATGATCTGTTCTGGCGGTTGAAAATATTCGCTTAAAATTATCGAAACTTACTGCTGACGGCTAGTGAACCCACTCATCATGTTTGGAGAACAAAAATCGTTATTTTCGATAGACCTTGACTGCTTCTGTTGCATCGGGGAGATTTTCCAGAAATGCAAGTTAATTTTGAAAAGCATACAAATCTAGTTAGATAAAAGAAGAATTCAAGCAGTGTGTATCCCAGTGAATATACAAGTTAGTCGAATAGATACCACTCTTAAAAAAACAAGTATCCCACCAGCTAAAAAGGTCATTATAATAGACGATAGGACACGTCTCGATTTAGAATCTCGATTTAGAAACAAAATTACAATTAGTGAATAGCAAAGTTATATCGTTTTATAATGAAGTATGTGATATGCGTCTAGGACAAAGTTACACACTACTCTTTTGTTTATTTTTATAGTTGCAAAATGCTCATCAAAAGTTTTACGATCTTTTTTCTCTATTACTTTATTACGATCTTTTTTCTCTATTATTTATTATTTATTTCCTATTTTTAAGCAAGTTTTAGGAGTGTATAAAAGAGTTTTTATTCGTTTTCTTTTTTAGAAATAGGTTTGTATGCTCAGTGTTACAATACGTGCACTGTACTTCGACATTTCGAAAGAACTTAGAAATTTGTATCTGACTTATATATTTCAAGTAGAAATATAGAAAAACATAGACATAATGTTTATTTGTATTATTCCAACTACTCTTTTCCAAGGGGTATGTCGAATACTGGAAATTTGATGGGCTGTTATCAACGAATAAACAATTTCGAGGACTCGGTTTGCAAGGTCTCATAAAAACGTTTAAGTCCTCGAATAAGGATGTTCGGGATTTCCGAGCGCTCGTCGTACTCCTCGGACGAACTTTTTTGTCTGCCTGGAATTTCGTTAGTTTTATGTATCATTACCGATTTAAATTTTCGTTCCGCTTCAACATTATCTGATGGATGTGGACGGAAATAATGAAATACGAGTAATTGTTGATGATATTTTATCAATTCTTCAGCGCTAAACTGTCACTATGAACATATTCGTATACTTCAACTATAGAATGACAGATTTTAGCAATATCAAACGCAGTCTTGGGTAAAATACTGAGACGGCTTCTAAATGAGATTTTATGATAAGTCAAGACCGATAACTAATCACATTTTCTCAACTACACAAGCAATTTCATCATTAATTTCTCAAGAAGTAGTCTCAAAGAAATATTTTTGTTATTGGTATTAAGCATGTTTCAGATATTTAATACTGAGGTATACCGATCCGATAATTCATAGATAATTCCAATACACAGACTCAAGGCCATCATGATTGCACATACGTTGATACCTCCTTAGTGTAAATAATTTTATTTCTGTAGTGCGATATGTGACTTTAATATTCACATACAGCTCGCTGCTAAAATTGAAAACATATGGTTGTCTTTTATGCTCGACTATTGCAAAAACTTCTCTTTTTTTTTCTTTATTTTTTCATGAGTACAATTAGCATTCTTTCAGTTTATCAACTTTGTTCAGAAATGACATCTCTAAAAAAAACACAACTAACCACAAAAGACACACAAGAAAACAAAAAATCAAATTAATCACAGAGTAAAAAAACATATCAATATGACTGAATTATGCACTTAAACAACTATAAGGAAATATTTAAAAAGGAAGAAACACACCGGAAAACAGACAAAAAATTTACTTTTACACAAACGAATAACTAAAATACATCCCAATATTATCAGTGCAAAATGTGAGAAAAATTAAATAAATAATTATTTGATTGCTCGATTAGCCAAGTGTAAAAAAAGTTTATTTCTTACTTTTTTTCGAATCCTATAATAAATAAAATAAAAATAGAATAAACATAATATTTTTACCCTCATATTACCATCTGTGCGATGTTCGCCTGATCCTTCGTGCGAATCACAAGTGGAAATATGAGAGTTACTCTATTATACAAACGATTGATATTATACCTTGGATGCAGTTGGACGATGTTGTAATCGATCTATTTCGTCATTCTGCATTGTCAAACGTTCATTCAGTGAAGCTAAATGATCTGACATTGTTGCTATTTGTTCTTCATAACTTTTTGTGGTTGTAGCTAATTCATCCTATGAAAGAGACAACTAGATCAATGTATATTTCAATTAACTCTATTAAACTAATCTACCCTCATTTTTGCCATATCTTGACCTATTAGTTCAATTTCATTTTCTAATTTTTTCTCTTGTTCTTTGGAAAGTTTCAAACGTTGATGAGCATTTTGCAACTATAAAAATAAACAAACGAATAGTGTGTAACTTTGTCCTAGACGCATATCACATACTTCATTATAAAACGATATAGCTTTGCTATTCACTAATTGTAATTTTGTTTCTAAATCAAGAATTTTTTGGGAATAATAATTTTTAATCATTGTTTCACGTTCACTGGGTGGTTCAGAGCTTGTTCGGCCTCGATCAGTCAAGGATGATAAAGTCTAATTATAAAATATAAAATTTCGATCATGTCAAACGACTGAATGATAGGAATCACTCACAGTTGATTGCTCTATAGAAGGCATGTGTTGTGGAAATGCAACATCATTTTCATTAACATCACTGTTATTTATCAACATCTCATGATTTTTCTGACGTAGTTCATCGATTTGCTTCGTGTAATCATCACGCATCTTGAATTTGAAAAAGAAAGTAACATAAAATATATAAATAAGAAGAAAATGATGTCCTGGATGTATAAAACCTACTTTTTCATATTTAATTTTCAACAGTTGATATTCTAAACGCCAATGTTCTTTTTCTTGCTCAAGCGTGCCAATTATTTCAGCATTATATAATATCTAAAGAGGCAAAAAATTGAATATAAACACGATAACATTTGAATTGTTTATGTTTGTCTTGACTTATATTTTCAAACTTACGGTTTTACTGTGTATAGCATTTTGTTGATTATCGTCTGATATGTTAGAATTATTATCTAATCGCTTTTGCTTTTTTTGCTCAAATAAATATTTATGATTTGTTTTTATTAATTGTCCAATCTATTAATGAGAAAAAAGTTTCAATTTTAATTGAAAATCATGAAGTATGCAAATATCTTTGAATACTTGTTGATCAAGATTAGAAATTTTTCTTAATGCTGATAAAATACATTCATCAGTTGTTGTTAAATGAACAGGTGAAACAGTCAATTCATATTCAAGACAAAGTTTATCATTGTAAGATTTATCAAGATCTAGTGAGAAAAATAAAAATAAAAACAAGGATATAGAATAAAATATAATTATCGTTAATTTACCACAATGAATTATAGTTCCAGCTTGTAGTGAAGATAATAAGTCATTGATTGTTTGTTTCAATGTTTCCGGAGTGAATGATGACTTGGACGAGTCTTGAATAAAAGAATGTGTACATTATAGGGTGACAATGTATACTCTATGGTATATATTTCTTACCAAATTGAATGATAAGAGCTGATATTTCTCGAATTTTTGAGAGATTTTTTGACCATTTTTGGAGAAGGTCAGTGATTGTTTTATTCAGGTTACTAATTGTTAACTGAATATGTTTTTGTTTATCAATAGTGTCGATTTCTGACTCATTATTGTCTTTTACAGACATATCCGGTTCATCGCATACACTGTAATAAAAATTGTAATAATTTTATTTATTAAACGAATCGTTGAATATTTACCTTCGAACAGCCAATGTGAGAATTTTCTCACATGATGATAGAAACATGCTATACAATTCAGCAAAATTCATTGAATCAGTATTATTATTAGCAGCAGTATTTGTTGATGGCTAAATTAATAAAAGACTGAAAATTAGATTCTATGAAAGATTACAAACAATTTTCTATTACCCTGTCAAACAGTTTTGTTTTAAGCATATGCAAAAAATTTTCGGAATGTAATTGGTATGCTTTCACTGTCTGGGTCATCTAAAAACGTGATAAGTAATGAACGAATGAAAAACTATCTCGTATAAACTTTTAATGACTGTTCTATGTTCACTTCTTTTATTCGTCAGCATATGCACTAGTAATCTACAGCTCTGTGCAAAATAATATAAATAATTTATGTTTTTTAACATTTTTTGCTCGATTGTAATAACCAGAACAAATTCGAGAAGTGATTTTAATAGTTGGAATAGTTTTGATTCAGAAAGGATGTGTATGCAAATCTCATTAAGATGTGTCGATGTGGGATATCTAGGAAACTATGTCCGTAGATTCAATCAGAAACTTTTTACACACAACTCAGTCGTAGAGAACAAATATTTCTGAACAAAATGAGACATCTTCGAATTCTGCACGACATTCTTATGTTAAACTATATTCATTTTACGGAAGGTCTCAACGACATTTTTTGTTGTTGTTGATTTTGTTGGCTTTGACCATTAATAAAATGTAAGCAGTTTAATATAAGATTGTTATGATGGTCTCTTTTGTCCAAAAATATTTGTTCTATACGACTGAGTTGTGTGCAAAAAGTTTTTGATTGAATCTATGGACAAGATTCTGCTAATATTTTTCAGAATTATATGAAATATTTTAGACTACAAACTTTTTCACTAGTATCGTTTGATGAATTAAAACTTTTGTGGTTCTTTAAACGTTCTTCAATATAGATTGTAAACTCCGTAAACGCATCTATCCAAGATTTTAAATATTTATGTAGATATATTTCGGGCAATTGCTCAGTTGTTCCAACATCAAAAGATGATAGCCGTATTGTCGATTTATCATCAGACGTAACTATAAAATTACACAATGAATATAGAAAAGTTAGATAAGAGAATATTATTGAGCATCTTACGTCCATTCGGTTCAGCTGAGTGTGGCTGTGTAGATCTAAAAGACAAGGCTTAATTGAAGATTAAAAATATACCTAAAAAAGTTCTAGATCCTACACTGTTATACATGTTTCTGCTACTAGTAATTGCTGCTTTAATTTTTCATTTAATGTCTCATTCTCTTGTTTGATCTGCTTTAATATTTGATTATTTTCATCTAATGTTCGTCGATGTATAGTTTGCATTTCTTCCATTTCACTCTGTAATTGCTCAACTGTTGAACGATAGGATCGTTTCTCATTGTCAGCATCTTGAATTTGTTTATCCAGATCAAATACCTAAGACAATAATTAAAATAAATAACTGAACACAAGAAAAAAGATTCGTCATTGTAATAACAAATGTTCTGACATAAAAAAAATTCTATCGTATAGTATGGCTCTATTGAGCCATGGAACTAATGAAAAGTAACGTTATCATATATAAATCTATTTAGAAAGTGAGACAATCTTATCGCCAAAATAGAATTCCAGTTAGTGGTATTTGTTCAAATTAGGAAAATTTTGACTTTCTGTACTACCTACTTTTCGATGTAATATTTCATAATCTTTTATTTTATTTTCTAATTCTTGCATTAAAACATCATCATTTGAATGTCTATTGTCATTGAAGGATAAATCTCGTTTCTAGAAAAACAATTTTAGCTAATTTAATTGAATATATCAAATTATTTTATTCATTTTATTTACTTGTTGTTTGTTTTTTTTAAGTTTTGATTGTAATTCAATATCGTTTAATTCTTGTTGTAATATTTCTAATCTTGATCTCAATTGATTATTCAAAAACGATATTGTTTCGATTTCTTGCGTATTACGTCGAAGATTTTGATCTTTTTGATTCAGATGTTCCTGAAACAAGCACACATCGATATATGAATTAAACAAGCAGAAGAGAGAAAGAAAGATGCTTCATTACTTGTAATTCTTGATTTTTACTTTGTTCATCAACAATTGCTTTTTTCAGCACAGTAACTTGCCCACGTACCTAAATCAAAAGAGTGTAAGAGTAGATAGATTCTGAAACAGTATGTTTTCCATCTGTATACCTTGGCAAATTCATTTGCCAATATCTGATATTTTCCAGCTAAATCCAAATTGTTAGACATTTGTTTATTTAGACAAAACCAATAAGAACATTGCTATTAAGCTTCGTCTTAGAATATTAAAAGAATGAAAAAAAATTCTAAAGTAGAAAATGTGATTGTTTGAAAAATATACACTTTACATAAAGTTTTTTTCTCGCAAAATTTCTGTTAATCGATTATGATGCTCACTAGATCTTATTTATCATCGATGAATTAGAAGCGCTATTTTCATTTGGTAAAATAAAAACTTACTTTGGATATCGAGCTACCACATTCTAATAAAACACAGAAGCAGTACGATATATACATTCATTACCGACTCAATTGAGAAAATTTGTATCTTATATCAAATTGTTATTGCTCATCTTTTAAAACAATGGATGAAAATGGCTTATATTTCTAATATTGTATTATTTTAATAAGAAAATTTTGTTTTTTCTTGGAAAAAAATCTGTTTCTTTTAACTAGCTCATAAGCATTTATTTTTTCTATTTTAAAATATTTTCACAAACACTAGATAAGAAAAAGAAATAAAAACATAGATGAATAGAGATAGTTTTCTTTTTTATTTCGAATACTCGCTATTCTAAGAACAACACAAAATATATTGCTCTTTTGTAGAAGTTTTAAATAAACACAAAACCAATAAAAATAAAAAACTTAGCTCAGATTTTTTTAGTCTCGGTAGTCGAGAAGAATTACATGACAATTACCACTAGAAATAACACATAAAATTGCTCGTTATTCTCAAACACAAATTTAAAGCTCATCCAGTCATTAAATTTTGTAGTGAAATATCAACAATTGATGTCAACTCTTGATTCGATTGTTCTTTGTATTTCTCAATTAATTTATCTTTAGCCCAACTGATATATTCTAAATTTTCATCTCGATTTAGTGCCGATGTTGTCGACGTTGTATTTAGATTTCTATTCATTAGATTCATTGATGTTAACAATATTCCATATAATGTTCGAATATTAGAAGAATTTATTTTATAGGCACTAAAATAATAACTACGCGCGACTTCATAGAGACCTTGACTATAACGGATTGATGCATAACGTTCATGATTTAAATGATTGTGAGGATTTATTAATAATAATTCTTCAGCACAAAATGCAGCTTTCGCATAATCATGTTCAATTAGATATAATTCACACAATTCACTCCAAGCTTCGACATCTGTCTAAAAATAATCGAAAACAGACAAACACGTTAAAGCTACGAATAAAATTGACAAGAAATAAAATGTTAAATCTCTGTGACTAATATTTGTTTAGTAGAAACTACAAACTTCGTATTATATCTGTCCTTCATTTTTATCGTGATGCTATTTAATTTACTAATGATCCTCATTAGATATTAAACTGTAGAGAAACAATGCATACCTGATATAGTTGTAAATAACCGTTTAATTCATTTATAGCATCTTTAATTTTATTTTGTGCTTTTAATATTGATATTTGCCGTTTTCTAACAGTTGAATCAGTTTCATTATCCTGTGATAATGATTGATAGATTTTATCGGCTCTATCATAATCGTCACGTGCCTCATATGACATTGCATACAATGTTGATATTCGTCTACTTGTTTGCTTAAATTGTTTAGCTAATATTTCCGTACATTTATCTGCTACGTCCAATTGATTACATTGTAACGCTGATTTCAAAACTTGTTCTAATATTAACCATTTCTCATCACCCAATGATGATAAATTTCGTTGTGACAAATGCTTTTGCCAAATTTCTAGTACTTCATCGTGACAACGATAATTTTCATCACGATATTTACGCAGTTTTTCAACAGCAGCTTGCATATTTAGACTAGTCTGAAAACTTTATGTCGACAGAATACTAAAATGGAGTAAAGAGAAAAAACAAAGACAAATTTATACGTAATACGAAGAAAGAATAATCTTTCAGTTACGAAGTAATATCTAAAACATTTTTATTCTCGAGGAACGCGACAAACTCGAATCAGCCTTTCTAATGAGATTTTTTCACAGTAAAATTTTCCATTTTTCAAATACAAATCGGGACAAATTCAAAACAGTACTAAGTTTTTTCAACAATGATTAATCCAATTCGACTGTTAATCCACAATGACACAGGTTTTATATTAGGAAAGTTTTATCTGGCCTTTGTTTCACTTGTTTTTTGAGTTAGAAAACAAGAAAACATAATGTGGAAATTACGAAAAGCATTTTAGATTTTTTCTCAGAGTAAAAACTTTGCTCTTGCATGATCCATTAATAATTCAAAACGTTGACTCCAATAATAGCTCTAAAAAAGCTTAAGAACTCTGCTTTTATGAGCGCAAAGTTTTAGACTCGATCAAGTAAACTTAGAACTCAAGTTTTGTCTAAGTAAATTTAAAATTTGTCTACAATATATATGCTGTATTATCAAGTCACGTTCGTTTTCTCATAGCCATTAATTTCTCCCGTCAAAGTTATTCATCGCCAACCAAAAATACAGACCAAATAAATAAGAGAATAACTATTGGATATTCGAATCGATGTCGCTGTGAAGCGATACAACATAAAGGTCTTGAATTTTTTCCTCATGATTTGTTTCCCAAAGCTTCTTTTTCATTGATAGTTTACTGAATAATGTTTGAAAACAATTAGTAGTACGTGGACAAACGGCATGGACTGCGTCAAAAAGTGATTTTTGGGCACTGGAATTGATTGGATGAAAAGTTCACAGAAATTCACTTTCGAGCTTTTAGTCATAAATCTAAAAGGTCACCTGGATTCTTCCAGTCAATTCTAAGAAAAAAGCAAAACAGCGCCCTCTATATGAGTTTTCTCAGAATTGACTGGAAGAATCCAGGTGACCTTTTGGATTTATGACTAAAAGCTCGAAAGTGAATTTCTGTGAACTTTTCATCCAATCAATTCCAGTGCCCAAAAATCACTTTTTGACGCAGTCCATGCTGTTTGTCTCTGAAAAATTTTGATCTTATGTATTAAATATTCTTAAGTTTTTCGCCATCTTTCATATTTTAAAATCGACGGTCAGCCTCCTCGAAGTTTTCTACTGATTAGATGTATGCATTTTGTTTTCGATCTGGAATATATGCAGTTTAAAGCGAATTTCTCTTTTGCTTCTTATCTTTAACTCTCCACTCTGTGACTAGGGATGAACGTCGATGTGTAGACACTCTTCTATTGGTTACAGCAGCCATATTGAGCCTTTTACACATTTTTCTCTTGACAGCTAGTTTTTAACCAATGCTGAAGTTACCTGCACTTCTAACTACATTCTGTCTATCTATATCTATCTACATGTACACTGTTCCGAAATGTTACGATAAACCGTAAGGTAACATTGTTACACTTTTAACATGACATTGTTACACATCTACCATAACATCACATTTCGGGACAGTGTAGTTTCACGTCACTCTCGTCTGTCTCCGTTTATATTATTGAACAGAAATTGTACCAGTTGAAACTACTTAAAGCAACTCAGTAAAAATATTTCTTTCTTGGCAGAAAGTTAATCTTTAAATACTCCAACAAGAAACATAGAAAGAATCAAATTTCAGTTCATACAGATTAAATGATTACAATGTTGAAAACAAAAGCCCTAGAGCGTCCTCTATTCACCTAGGCTGATTTGGAGCGCTCAGACTAAGTGTCCGATAATTTGTTTTCTGATTAATTACGATTGTCAACATCTTTCAAGCTAAAACTACGTTAACAGTTGTGATTGAGAAGACAAATTATCGGACGTTTAGCTTGATTGTTTGGGGGCTATGTATCGTGTAGTTCTTGCCTGTATGTTACTATATACATAAGTCTGATTTTCATACTGTTGATACTGCGGATCGTTGCAGTGCCAGCATTGAATTTTTATATTCTATAGCTCTTTCCGGGCAACTTTTGAATGAATGACTGAATGATTTATTCACGAAAAGTGAGGGTCTTCAAAGATCCTCGACCTATAAAACAATGACTCGAGCCAGGCAACAACAAAAAGAATGTGTAAATAGAAAAATATTTATAGATATTTTGTATCCGAAGAAAGCAAAGAAATTTGGTAGAGAAGGAAGACTCACATAGGTTTGCACTACATATAGGTGAGACTGTGACCGGGATTCAGTGGCGGATCTAGCACTACGGCGGTCCGGCGACCGCCGCCTCCTCGCAAATGGAATGCTAATGCAAGTACACTACCAGACTTCTTTAGAAAAAATATTCATACTACCTCGGACGACTTCGTTTAGAAATCGCCACCCCGTCGGTAGAGTCTTGGATCCCCCACTGCCGGGATTAAAAAAGTTTTTTATCGGGTCCAGAACTACAAACTTTTTTTCTGGGACCGAACCGGGTCCAACACTAGAACTAAGATGTGTTTCGACAGTTGCATAAAATCAACTGAAACTTGACCTGTTCTCTATACTAAAATAGAAACGTTGTGGAAAGCCGTCAAGAACTCTTACAGTTCTTTCCTAGGCATTGAACAAACTTTATTAATAAAGTGTTTTCTTCGGCACCATAAAAAATTTCCGGGACTAGGACCGGGACGAAATCAAAACAACTTTACGATACCGGGACTGAAAAACCTTGGTCCTGCCCATTTCTAGTTTGCACTCATCCGCTCATTAAGTGCACATGTAAATGTAATTAAGTATTGTTGCAATGTTTTCGTCCATGATACATTTGTATATGTCTTAGAGGTAACCACTCCCTTTTCTTTCACTTTGTTGACAAACGCAGGATAAAGGTGTAATTGAGTCAGATTTTCATCAAAAATAGAGTATTGAAAAAGAACATCAATGTATTTTGGCCCCTAATTTGTGGCATGTTCTTGTATGGATTTTCTGGAAAGCTGAGATTTTCTTAAGCACATTACGTTCCCCTGAAAACTTCATTCGATCGGCTTCACAACTTTATCATATGTACTTGGAACAATATCTCAGAGTAGTATTTTTTCGTTTCTAATTTTTTTTTGTAGGATATAGGGTTTTCAGAATCAAAAACCTAAATTTTATGTACGTCTTTTATCGTTTTTTCATATCACGAGAAAGGCAAACTCAAGAGCGAAGAAAGAACATAAATCACCAAATATAAGCTTCGCATATTCTTTTTTTCGTAAGATAAAACAGACCAACTTATTAACTACACTTTTTTATAGCGAATATTTGTCATCTTTTTGGATGAGTTGAATGTTCAAAATCTTTTAACGCTCATTGCGTACTTTTTGTCGTTTGAGAAATTGGGAAACAGAAGAAAGTCTGTTTAGAAAATATTTTCTCGCTCTCTAGCCTCTACAGTGCACAACTCGTAACGAGTAACGGGAACGAGTTACTCGTTCCCGTTAATCAAACGCATTCAGATGCGTTTTTTTACACAAAAGTGCTTTTCCGATATTTTAATGTAATCTAACGTTTCTCTTTTTTTAGACGCGTTTAGTGTTCCCAAAAGTAGAGTCTCCTCAAAAGATTTTTTTAAAGGCGACTATAAGTTTCAGGGTGATTTTTGACTACAGAACGGGATATATGTCATTTACGCTGAAAAAAACCTATTTTTTTACTTTCGAAACTTTTTTCTCTTCCATTCAGTAGTTGATAAACTTTTGAAATAGTAAGTTGTAGAGTAAAGATTTCTCTACAAAATGAGATATCTCCCAGCTCTTCACCATGTTTTCTGATAGAGTAATGATCATTTTGGATGTTATAACACAAATGTGACCTTTTTAAAGGCTTCTAGCAAAATGATCATAACTCTATCAGAAAACATGGTGAAGAGCTGAGAGACATCTCATTTTGTAGAGAAATCTTTACTCTACAAGACTGACTGTTTCAAAAACTTATCAACTACCGAATGGAAGAGAAAAAAGTTTCGAAAGTAAAAAATAGATTTTTTTCAGCGTAAAGTAATAAACTTTAAAAGATTCGTATCTCCTCAACGGAAGGCCTTGGAAAGCGGTGGTCTTATTTTGTAGAGGACACTTTACTCTATAATGCACAATATTTAACTGAAAAATAAAAAATATTTCTAAAAACATATCGAACCAGTGATTTTTTCCCATTTAGCAATAACCCACATTCACAAAGTGAAGAGAGACCTGTCTCTGAGGCGCAGTGCACAGGTCGAACCCACGACGCAATTCTTTGGGTTTTTTGACATTGACTTAAGTCATACTACAAAAACGTTACTAGTGAACAACTTTTAATCTCGATGTATGTTTTCTAACTAAATCGCAAAGTATATTATTCTATATTTCACGAGAACCAGATTTTTCTAAACTGTAGCAATACATATTTTTTTGCTTAGAACAACCAAGTAGATTTTCGAAATCTAGAAAAAAAGTTTCAGGAGAAAACTGTTTTTTTGTGAATTTGTATGTGATATTAAAGAATCATTATCTGGAAGTCGAACACAGTCAGATGGGTTCCGAATAATGCTATTTTATCTTGCTTTTTAAAAGGACTTTCCTACCCTTTTGAAAGTTATTTTTTTATTGACAAAGATAATTTTCGACAAATGTTTTCTGTCACATTATTAGTAGTACAAGTAGAGGTACCAGCCAATCATTTGGTCGGTGGTGTCTGGCTAAAACATTTTTCCGATCGACGGCGGCAGCTGGAAGCATCTGAAAACTTTTTCGCCTCTGGTGGTAGCTGAACATTTTCTTTTCTTTTTTTACTTATGTGCAATTTTTCTACAAAAAGCTACTATAAAACTTCTGAAGATTTTTTTCATCAGCGACTAACGGACCCACACTTTTAGACCACGTTCCGCGACAGCGGTTTAAAATCAGATTGCCGACGGCGCCGGAGGCTTATTGGCTGACACGTCAAGAT